ACATTTTTTGGGATCTTGAAAATTAGGGAAACCGGTGTACACAATAGTAGTGTATTTAGTAATCTCTTCATCAAAAATGACGGATCGTAGCAAATTATACGTTTCTCTTTCCTCTTCAGTAAACCTACCTTTGGTTACAAATAATATTTGGTGCAAACCTTCTCGCACTTGGTAAGCCGCAGCGGCTAGTTTATTTAATACTTCTTGCGGGGATAATTTAGTATCACCAATTCCTACCGTATCAATTATCCGGTAAGTTTTTCCACCATTCTCAAATTCCTCAACTTGAATTTCTTGGGTTTGACTAGCACCAAATTCTCCTTCCTGAAATTTATTTTCTCCACATATTACATTAGCCAGGGTGGATTTACCATTACCTGTCCGACCAATTAATATTATATTTCTTCTGCCTTCGGGATTAGCAGCATTGGCTTCGTTGCTGGACTTCGCGGCTTCTTCAATTTTGTCAACTTCTTCTCAACTAAACTCTTTTTCGTTTAGTATAGACAAAAAGCGACCCTCCGTGGTTTCCTGGATTTGGCAATTATTTTCTGTCACTCGGGCGATAAATTGTTCGTCCTGCTTCAACGCCGGCTTCGACTCCGAAAAATTGCTCCAATTAATTTTTTTGGGTAAAATAAGTCCGCTTATCTTGGTTTCTTGATAAGCAACTTCCTCGGCAAACTTAATTTGCCATTGTCCTTCGAGGCTTTCTAATTCTCGAAAGGTAAATATTATTTTTTCGATTTTTGTTTCTGTCATGTTGTTTAATTTATTATTTTTACCTGCATAGCAAATTTAAAGTTATTTATAATTTGCTACATTATATATTATACTACACTTTTTAGTGAGAGTTAGCATAAGTAACGAAAGGTAGCAAAAAAATTTGAAGAGTACTTGCAAAAAATTGAAGATCCCAATAATCATGAGGGAGTAAATTATGATTTGCCGAAAACCTTGATGCTTTGCAAATTTTTGGAGGTAAAATGAAAGTAAATACTAAAGTCTTATGTGAACAAATACGGAGCATTGATAAGAAAAAGTAATAATATTCAATAAATATGAATGATAAAGAAAATCAAGCCAGTCAACCAATTGCTTCCGAGTTAAAAATTTCTGGGGTTTTAAATACTAGTGCAGAGGCTATAGCGAATATACCTCGGTGAGCATTACAAAATTATCTGGGTCATGCAAAAATAATGTGCAAGAAGCCGAGTAGTACTTTTTGGTAGTTCTAAAACCTTTGTTCTCGCAGGTTTGCAAACTAAAACATAAAATAATGCCAACTCGACCTATTTCTTGTCACAAGCGGGATTTAGTGGTGCGCACTTATCGTCGTTTGGGCCAGCCTAATCAGAAGAAAGCCATTACTCAACCCGAGATTGCCAAGATAATTGAGGCTTTTTTGGCCGAAATACAAGCGAGTTTGCTGGCCGGAGAAGTTATTACTTTGAGGAATCATTTTAGTTTAGAAGTAGAAACTTCTCCTACTCACCGAAAGTTTAATCCTCTCCAACCGGACCAAACAATTATTCGGCCTGAGTTAAAAAAAATCAAGTTGCGACTTTCCCAGGCCTGAAAAAGAAACTTGAATCCTTTGTGACAGTTTCGCCAGGAGTTAATTTACGCGACAAGTTTAGCCGAAATTGAAAAAGTTTACCATTTGCTCCGCCAACAACCGGTTTATAAAAAAAATAAAAAGGATTTAGATGCTATTTACCATAAGCGTTTAGCAACTTTGGGAAAGAAGAAAGAGTAATTCTCTCGCATGTGAGTGGACGTGCTTTCTATAATTAATATATTGAAAAGATAATTATAGCAAATGTGGTTTAATAACAATTAAACTCAAAATTTCGCCAAACTCGCGACCACTGTCCACAATCTGAAAGGTAAAAAATAAAAATATGGTTGCTTTTGACACTAGTAGAATCCAAACCAAGTTGTTGGCGATTGAGGAACGTCAAGACATAAATGGTAATCCTTAC